TGTGTAACAAGATGTGTTCCTTGTGATTGAACCAATTCATTTTAAGCTCAGTAGTCTACAGAGCATGCCTTAATAATAAAGGATAGAGGGTGAGATGATGAACAGGCAACATGTCCAGAAACCTGGTTTTTGAACTTCTGTTCTTTTCCTCTTTTTCCCCACCTCCATACAGGCGGTCATTGATTCATCCTGATGTAATTACTGTGTGCTGTTGCAGAACTTGGTGAAATCAAGTGTAAATGTTTTTTCTCAAGGGGTTTGAAGTGCAGAGTGGATTTTGCAGAGTTCATTGCCCTCAACAACTATATTAAAACAACAATTTCAAGGCAACATTTCCATTTCAATTACAGTGAATTGTGATGATGAATGCCCGTAAGATATCAAGCTTTTAAATATCGACAAACTGAGGTTAAGGGAAATGTCAGATGGTTGTATTTATCAATATTACTGTCAAAAAAACATGCCTCTGTATAAGTTACTTGTGCTACTGCAGATACATCCACTACAAACAACATTAGACATATGTATGCATACTGCTAAAATGTAAACCTCTTTATTTGACATTGTTTCACTGCAATGCCACAGAAAACCACGGGCTCTGTGGGCTCTATATTTCATTTACATTAGTTCATTTAGTTATCAAATAAATGTAGTGGAGTGAAAAGTATAATATTTGCCTCTAAAATGTAATGAAATATGAAGTAGCACAAAATAAAAACATTCAAGTAATGTATGGATGCCTCAAAATTGTACTTGAGTACAATACTGAGCAAATGTACTTAGTTACCTAGTCATGCTTACTCAGGCAGCACATATGACACATTGGAAACAATCCAGAGAAGATTAGCATGGCCCCTGTGAAAGGATGACATGCAAACTTGTGAAGCATTTTCACATTTTTGCCGACGGCTGTGGCTCAGAAGCTAGAATGGTTGTCTCCTAACTGGTATGTAGGCTGGTGATTTCAATTTGCGGTTTCAATAATCCACATGTCAAAGTGTCAGTGCAAACACTGAACCCAAAAAAGTTGTGCCTGGTGCCCAGACAGCGCCGCTGTCAGTGAGGAATTTTCCCATACTGGACTAATAAAGGAATGATTATTATTATTAGTTACTTTCCACCACTGCGTTTGTTTTTTCAGCTGTGTTGTTCCTATGCCATAGAAATCATAAACAGAGATTTACAGAAGGAAAAATAATCCAACTGATATATTGTCTCAGTGCAAGACAAATTTTATGGAGAATGGCTGAAACAGCTGACAAGTATATAAATCAAATGTAGTGAAGAAATAAGATGCAGGACTTACTGCTGGAGCAGGTGGTTGGAGTCCTGCATGAGAGAAGACCGATAATCATCATAGTGGTAGTATTTACTCCAGTATATTTGTTGGCATTCTGCTGAAGGCAAAGCATCATTTCCCTTCTTTATTCCTCATTGTCAAAATGAGCATAAAAATTTACAGCACTCCAAATGTAACATGGCTGGAAGACAGAACCAGGCAAATAGATAAGGCTCACGGAGCCAAGGTCACTTTATCGGTTCAGCTGCCGACTGGTGAGGCTTCAACTCATTTTTTTTTTGGTCTCATTCTCTCAGCCACGTCAGCCCTGCTCAGTGTCGAATTTTCATCTTTGCCATATCAGTGTAGCTCTCCTTGGCCAATAAGTCCTTACTGGTATCTCACCATTGGTATTTCACAGAATAAGTAGATAAATGGGTCCAAATCTAGTAGGTGGACATATAATTTAATAATTACAGTTTTATCAGTTGCTAAGACACTAAAATGCCCCACTCCTGAACCAATTAGAAAAAAAAAACTTGTGCCATGTGGCCAAACACGTTATTGATTTTAATCAGAATAAACAATGAAAAAGACCACAAGTGAGTACTTGTTTACAACAGCAATTGATGTCGGTCTAGCTGAAGGTGAAAAAGAGGGAGAGGAGGAAGAGCTGGAGCCCCTTTTACAGGCAATAGAAGAGGCATGATGCTGCTGATGTGGTGGCTGCCAAGGCCTGAATACAACACTCAAAGCGTTTCTCCTGCTGCTGTCTAGCCCTGGAGGCCATGCATTCAATGTTGATGAGGTGATGTAAAGGAAAAACTAAATCTTTGTGTTTGTGCTAAAATTTATATTTTTTGCAGATGTCTGTGTACTTGAATGATCTTTCCCTTCAGAATCGTACTGTAATATAGTACTGTAAGTCAGTTAATGTGAGTTAAGTGTGTGACATTTGGTGCAAATGTTCTATTTTTATGTGTTTTTGTAGATCTGCGTGTAGTGCAGGTTGTGTGAGGTGTTTTTCATTTTAGATATGTGGTTGTTTGAATTGTGTTAAGGGTTTCAAGACAATGAGTTGTGTTGTCAAAACTGTATGTAAACAATTGAAAAACACTGTAAAAGAAAAACAGTGTTGCTTTATTTTTTAAATCGTATACTGGACACAGTAAACTGTGTTCATTTGAATGTAATATTTCTAGACACTGGAAAGTCTTTCTCAGCTGTTTCTCTAATGGATCAACCATGATCAAAAGTCAGGCCTTCATTAATGTCAGTAGGGTTCAACCTCTGCAAACCCTGAATGCCCATAAAAAATATTTGGCACCATTGTAGAGATATTTCAGTCTGAATTAGTGGTGAGCTGACACTCCCATTTGTAGGACCACACTGCTAGTATGGCTTCCCAGACTGTCGGTTGTCCTCCCCCCACTGTGACACACTATATGAGATTTAACAAATAATCACTGTAGCCCATTCTTATTTTTGTTCCAATGCCCTGTTTGTGCTGTGCTGATACTATGTAGTTTGATCTTTAGCATAGCCACAAAAATGCATGACATTTGAAGGTTTCCATTAAACTTACTGGTGTTTTGCAAAAAAAAAACCTCTTTTTAGGCTTTTTATCTATTTTTACACAAGAACCGAAAAAAATCATTATCAAGTTATTCACATGTATCTCATATTACGTCTTTGTGCAAAGGTACGTGTGGAAAAAACTATGTGTTTTACTAGTGTATATACAGATTCTACACAGAAAATAAAATGTGTATTAATATTTATGACAGGAGAGCACACATCCGATAAAATGTTACAGCTGTTGCCAACTAATGCCTCTGTGTTTCCGTGACATTCTCTGCCAACACATTAAGCTCTTTCCGGCTCTATAACTGTGTATGGATGATGACTGTAATATATACACAGATGTTAGCATTATCACTTAACCACGATGCAGGAAGTTTGATGACTCAGATATTTAGAGTGATATTATCTACAGTGGCTGCACTTAAATTGGGTGAGGGTGTCATTTGTTTTTGTGATGACAGTACACTGGCACTCTGATAGCTTCAGATAAATAAATCTGTGTCAAAGCGGGCCACCACATGACTTCAAAACAAAGCCACCGACCCCTCTGATTGATGTCCTCGGTGTAGTCGTAGTTCATACAGAAACTGTGTCTGATTCATGGTTTCATCTAGGATGAGGTGGTTTTTTTTCAGTGGCTGCTGCTAATAGATCAATAGTGGTGGAGGTGTGGGGAGCTAGGAACAGAAGGGCTCATTGTATGAGACATTAAGATGTAGTAACAATAAACGATGCACATCAGGCTCTGCAACAATTGCCTCTGTTTATTACAGACAAAGAACAACGCAAAATACAATGCTATCCATTAACAGCAAGAGTAGGTAAAAGCTACCTTGAGACAGTAATGTGCAGAAAGTGCCACCTAAGATATCAGGTTTTGTTATCTTTGTGTTCACATCACAAAAGCTCTTTTGTTTAGGCTGCAAACTGCGCACCATGCAGAACTGAAAACACCGCAACAACTGTTTCCCAAAGGTGAAATAACGTTCAACTGAAAACAAAGAGAGAAAAGAATAAAAGTGCAGAACTGAGAGGCACTTTATTCTACAAACTACAGACTTCAACCCCCTTTTTTTTTATTTGTATATTTTCTGGAGAGTATTAGCTTCCACTGACTGGTTTGAAATGATAGAAATCACACTGATGGAACAATGGATCAAAGCAAGCTATTATTTTAGAAATGCACTCACTGGCACACATTTGAAAACACAATACTGAATTAATTTCACGTTGCACTGTACAATCATTTTCAATTTCTTTACAATTAGACAAAAAGCCTGCTGTTCAGTGTTGAGTTTACTCATTCTCTCCGAGTGCTCTTTAATTTACACATATACCTAGCTCAGCGAGACAGCAGAAAAGTCTTCCTTTAAAAGCAGGTGGGATATATACATCCCGTGGATTGCACCAACTCAAGTATGGCACTTTGTCACAAGCTGCTTAGGCATTCCATCGCTGTTCTGTGGGTTTTGCTAAGCATATAAATCACAGAAAAGCAGTGCACTCTGCAGCCTCAACCAGTATCAGTGACTTACTGTTACCTGACCATTTGATAAACAGCCCTTCTACCTCCACACCAGGTTTACACATTTCTCCCTCACTATTATTACACTGGCCACTGGCCTTCCGAGGTTCCTCACGGGGAGTTCATAGTGGTTGTCTTCACAGTGGCCAAAGCAACTTACAGCTTTGGTGTATCTGCCACTGTTAAGATTACATTTCCTGCAGACATCATTAGCGTTTAAGAGATTTTAAATGGACACAGCAGGCTCAAGTGAGTGTCATTAATATCGTTCCCTTTCTTTGCTTGAAACTCTTTATAAGGCTATTCCACGTCTGTGCTTTCTGTCCAGCAGCAAGATTAAAATGTCACAGTGTTGTGCATTTGGATTAATTTTGGATTACATGGCTTCTGGTTGGGAGGTACATGAACAAAGAGAAAAAGCGTTTGCTACAAGTAATGTGTAAAACGTGGGCACCACTGAGCTGACAAAATGATATCCTTGGACTGGGTGATATAAATGGTACAATCACTGGTTGCAATAGGAAATTTCCTTGATCCGAAAATGTGAAGCTTTGAGGCACTGTTAATAAGAACTTGTATCTTTGTGAGGATGCTCAGACACTCAGCCACACAGCGCCTAACCCCAGCCCTAACCCTAACCCCAACCCCAACCCTAATCTAAATTTATTTCCAACCTTAAACCTAAGTCTTAACCCTCAAACAGCCCTTTGAAGGTCTGAGGATCGGCCAAAGCATCCTCACATTCCCAAAACGTTATCACTCCCATGGTATAAAATTCAAACAAAAAGTTAATCATCTGCACATAAAGTGAGAACACTTTCATGATCACCAGTAATAAAACCCATCCTCGGGAACGAGTAGCAAGGCTCTCAGAGAAAACATCTCATGCAACAAACCATTCTATGGGCTTACTAAGACCTGAAAACTACTAGAAAATTCTAAGCTCAAGTGAATCTTGAGCTCAACAGAATATAGTGAAGTAGTGATTTAATTTAGATTGTTATAAATACTGATGTCACCCAGCCCTACGATATCTTCTAGTGAAGCTTCCTGCTATTGAATGTGACATAATGTGGCGTTTTGTTTAACACATTCTGGTTTTGTTTAGGAGGAGGTCTGCGTCAACCAGCACAGTCATGCAGCTGTAGGATGAATTGCTTTCATGCACATTTTCTTGTAACATTTTAGGTGATGTTTATATAAAAGGTGTCGCTGCGTTATATCATTACTGTATGTACATTACATCCTGTATTAGTAACTGTTTTCTGTTTTTCAGACACATTAGACACCGACGGGATTTTTCACTCTGCTCAATCCTGCACAGCTGTATCAAACCATAACTATAAATTACAAACTACTGTATGTATTTTGCACAATTCATGCTAACACCCTTTACTTATTTTTACACAAAATGCTAGGCCTACAGCCCACAGCAACTCATCCCATTGCATCATAATTAGTTTCTGGCAAATGGGCTTATTGGAGTCAAATAAAAGAAATATTTCCAAGAGAAAACACCTCAGAGAAATGAAACTGGAATGCCCCCTTGAGTGCCTGAATCCATACTGCAGCTGTCAGATTCTCAGATATCCACATTTTTTGTTAGGTTTTTGATTTCACTTCCAGACAGGGGAGGATCCTCATACAACATCTTCTTGGCAGTGGGCAGGTTTCTGGTGAGTAGGTACTGATCTGTTGGCGTGTTTAGCCCATCCATTTCTGTAGTGAAGTGGTCTGGACTTTCTCCGTTGGACATGTCCTTGATGACACTGTAGGAGAGTGCCACACTGTAAGAGGCTGGTTTCTCCATGCTCCGGGGGCCACAGTGGCACAGCTTCTTAAAAGCAGCACGAAATTTCTGGGACATGGCATTGTAGATGACTGGGTTGATGGCACTGTTTAAATAGATGCAGAGTCGGCAGAAGAGCAGGAACCAGGTGTCTAGGTAGGCCTTGTTCAGGAAGGAGTTGACAACCACTAAGGTCCGGTAGGGCATCCAAAGTAAGGCAAAGAGGATCACCACCACAGCCAGCATCTTGGTAACCTGATAAAATTCAGTGTTAGAATGTGACAACATAAAGGAAAACTGGATGAGTGACTGACCATGTGCCTTGGGCTGTGGCACATGGTCTACAGACTTTTTTCAGAACAGACTATTTGACTTCTCAAAGCATAATGTGTTTCTGAGAAAATTAACAATGATTCTGTTTTCTTCAAATGTCCCAGTAAATGTGACAAAAGCATAAAACAAAAACTATTTTCACATTTCTAAAACTGGAGGCTTTCATAATATTAAACCCAATTATTGTGCTGTTTATGGTTAGTAATTTTCAACAATACCCTTTCAGTGTATTTACATTGCGTAATTACCTCCCTGTATAGTAATTTTCTTTGTCAGTGGCAGAGTCTACTGGTCTAGAGTGGGGTAAGTAGGCATGACGGATTCCTACATTATGTTTTTTATGAATGAATTTGACCTCATTGATATCAACCTCACTGTTTACCAAACAGAGCAGTGAGCATTTCCTACTGCTGCTACTTCACACCAAAGCATTCAGCTTATTCAGGAGAAAGGCAGGGCGGTTTTTATCGTCTAACAGCCATAATACAAGCTATGACCGTCAAAAATGCTTCTACAAAATGATTATTTTACATGTTTTTTGACAATATAATTTTTAAAAAATACTGCAGGGATTAAATAAACAAATAACAGTGAGCTGTTAGAGTTGCAGTCAACAGGCTGTACACCTCCAACTCCTCGACATGGTGACCAGCTCTATGAAATGAGATCATTGCTGCTTATGGGATGATGGGAAAAGGTCAGTTATTGATTGACATCTTTATTAAAACTACTGGAATTTATTTGGCTGAATTGTAAACAGTCACACCAGTTGCTCCTCGTACTAAGAATCTCTTTTTTGAGTTAGCATGAAGTTCAATACGTTAAGTTTCTGCAGACATGCTCCTGCTCATGTGGGATGAGGTTTATGCTCTTCTTTAATGCAAACATTCACAGTTTGATTTTCCTCAAAGTTATTTAGACAAAAAAGGCAGCACTCTGTTAGTAATAAAAAAACTAAACTCATGTCCCAATCATGTAGTGGTCATTATATTTACAAGTACCGCTTGACACATTCCAACATGAAGCCATCATCAGCATGTCACTGAGATCTATTTTTAAACGACACTTCATACAAGTTCTTAAGTTAGATATTGTATTGGCTGATCAAATCTGGATAAAGATGCATTAAAGCATAACTACAAATGTCCCAATTTTTAGATATCTTTGTAAAACAAATAGCAGTAAGGGATGTACGTAATTTAAAGTTGTTTGTCACATTTTGGGACTGGAGTGTGAATAGCAGTGTCTCCCATCAAATATTCTTGTTAAGCTAATTTAGTCTGTAATGATTAATGCAATCCCATCTCAGCTAAATAAAACTATAGATATATTTTGTTTATGGCAGTTTAGTTTTTAGACTGACTCTGAAGATTAACTAGTCATATTTACAGTTATTTAAGGAACAAAGGTCACCCAGTCTCAACCATCCTTCTTTACTATGCTTATACATTAATGGATTATGGTACACCTAGCTAAAGCAAAGCCTAATGCCATAACCCTGCCCCACAGAGCAGTCTATGGCCAATTGATATAAAAGAATACTATGGTTGACATTCAGTCTTTTAGTCTTACCAGACCTCCCAAAATTAGATTTTCAGGTTACGTTGTAAATATAAATATAATTAAAATATCCAGAATTCAATCAACTTTTTGATTTCTGCTCGAGTTCTGTTTTTTTTATTTTTTATTTTTTATTTTTTATGCTCAATTACTTTTAGGAAAAGAGATCTGTTGTAAAGATGTCAGCAACACACTTAATATTACTGGGGTTAACCGCACACAGCAGGTGCAGTGTAGATTATTGTTGTCTCCCAGTGTGAAGAAAGCAGCACATACTGATTTTACTGGTATGTATACATACCATATACATAATGAAATTTTATCCATATTTGTGCTGTGTGGTCTCAGATGCAGTGAGGTAACTCCAGGTGATGGGGCTGCTGTCAGGGTCATGAGAGAGCCTACCTTGATCTCATTACTTATCGACCTTAAGGTAATTCACTAAGGTACACGGTAATGGTATGGATTGTTCACTGTGTCCACAATGAGCGCTTAATGCTGATCACCAGTAGCACATGTGATTGTGTGTTTGTGGGCGTGCAGTGTTCAAAGATATATCACAAGCCATGCAGATGGATACAAAGCCAAAGGCCTATTTAAGTTGGGGTTAACTGATTGGACTATCCAATAGGTCATGGTGCGCCCTCAGGGTACCACACCTCCTGTCACTCCAGGAAGGTTCCTTCCCTTGATCTGATAAGCAAACATCTATAGTAGCTCTGCTGTCAACCTGCATGCCAGTGTTTCTGAGCCTTAGAGCATTCTATTTGATTTTAAACAAAGCAAAAGCCCTTTGGATTGGAGGGTGTTAAAGTTTTTTTTGAGACAGAAGGACGACATTGACAGAGAAAGAAGAAGCATAGTCTTATACTGTATAGTTATAGATGTATAGATATGTGATAAATGGTGTATTTTTGCACATGCACATAAACATACAACATCTGAATGAGCTAAATGAAAGGTTGCTGACATTTTATAAAGAAATCAGCCATCTGTGTGAACGAAATCTTGTCTTATCACTTGACTCTTATAACTTTATGATAAACTATATTAATGTACGCTTCAGAGCTTTGAAAAGTAGCAAACTGAGTTCCAAGTGAGTTTGTACTTCACCAGATTCAATAGTAAATGAGTGGAGGCAGCGCTTTGAGGCACTGTACTGTGATTAAATAAGGGGCGTTCAGGGTCAGTTCTAACATCAGGACATTTTCTTTCTTTCTTTTTTTATATAATGTGCACAGTTTCATGTATTATAGTTACACATCCCCTATGTAGCAACACTTGGTCTCTGTTAGTCTCTGGGCTCAATAAACATACTTTGTTTTCTCACCTACATATTGACTTTTACAGTTTTTATGAGAATTGCTTATAAACCTGGTTTTGAATTGATTACATTTCAGAAGTTACTTACAGAAAATGAAATATTCCTTGGAACCCCCCCGAACCCTCAGCTGTAAAACACAACTTAATAAAAAGGATATTTTATACACCCTGGATCTGTTACCACTGACTATCCTTCATATGCAACACACCCCCTGTAAAGGTAAGAGGTCAGGTCAGTGAGGGTTTATATTATTATGTAGGATAGCACACAATACTATGCATTTGTGCCTATGAGTGATCTTCTGACAAACTAAATGAAAATATAAAACATAAAACATTAAATAGTTCCTTATTTAATATTGTGGCGACCCTGACCGACCGCTGATGTTCCTGTGTTCTGTTGTGTGCAAATGGGTTTGACAATGTTATTGAAAGCTGTTCATGTATTGGTTACTGTCTGTTTTCTGTGAAATGCCGCGCTGTTCTGGCCAATGTGGGATGGGGGGAGGAAAGGTGCGGGAGGAGATAAGAGGGATGACAGGTGGGCGTGTTGGTTTGGTTCTGTTGGCGGGCGATGGTGAAGTTCTGGGAGATGTGTTGTTTATTCTTTTTATTATTTTCTTTAGAGAGCACATGGTGCCAGTTTGGACAGCGTTTTCATTTGTCTCCATACTGTGTTCAATAAAACCACAAAAGACAAACCAGGTGTTCTCCTCCTTGTTGAGCCAGGTGCCGGCACAATGCTGGCTAGTTAACTGTCCAGTATAGGACAGGGTCAGGACAGCTCCTCTCAACCGAGCCAGCGGTCGTCACAATATAATAACAATGCATTATTTCTCTCACCTTCATTAAATGTACAGGTCCAGTTTGTTCGAAAGGTTTGCCTCCTAAATATTGCTCTGTACATTTTGGAATCGGATAGGATCACACAGAAAGAAAACATTTTTAAAGTAAAAGGTGACTGACGTTGCTATTAGCTATTATTAGGGGTACTGCGGTCAAATCAGCCGCCGTTCAGTTTTCCGTGGTCAAGCCATCTGCGCTAGAATTTGAAGTGCGCCTATATACTCTATATACTTACATTTACGGTAAAGGTATTGAAACGGGCCAAAGATCACGATTTTCAAAATAAAATACCTTAACTCCAATGCTGGATTAATTATGAACTTTCAAGTTTAATACAAAAAGCTTTTTAGAGTCACATGTTTAATGTGAGTTTTCTCCAGAATGGTCCAGTAGAAATGCTTGATTCTTTGTGTGGTAATAGTGCGGGTCATGTAGAATCTAGAAATGATGTCCTTATGCTGCAAATATTAAGAAACGTGTTTTTATTAAGCTTGAAAGTTCATAATTAATCCAGCATTGGAGTTAAGGTATTTTATTTTGAAAATCGCGAGCTTTGGCCCGTTTTAATACCTTTACCGTAAATATAAGTACATAGAGTATATAGGCGCACTTCAAATTCTAGCGCGGATGGCTTGACCACGGAAAACTGAACGGCGGCTGATTTGACCGCGGTCAGTGGGGTTTGTGGGTCCAAAGGTATTAAGTAAAAATAGCTTCAACAACGCACAGTGGTTTGGTGTAATGTGTTTTGTGAACTCAGTATTTTAACCAAAGGTACCACAGCATGTGGGGTAGGTGTAACAGTGCATTATTCCACTTTTCTTCTTCTTACTGTTTAGCTCTCTAGATCACGTTGCCCTCAGCTGATACCGTATGACAATGCATGAATAAGGTGATGCCAAAAGTAGTTCTCTTTTGGAAGACTAGGGGAGTTGAAGTTGACATCGCTCAAACTTGTTTCTTATTGGAGGAAATAGGTTTTACAGCTGACCCGTGGTATCACACAGTGATAACGTTAATGAACAAGTAGTGGCGCACCTGTTTGCGAGAGGCAGCCGTGGTGCTGCAGGAGGAGCTGGTACTGATCATCCTCCCTCCCAGACTGGTCTCCTTCTTCCACTTCTTGCTGCTGTCTTTGGGATCCGAGGGAAGCGGGTTTAGGAAAAGTATCCTGGCGATCAGTCCGTACAGAACTGTGGCCAGCATGAGAGGCAGCACGTAAAACACTGCGAAATCAGAGAAGTAAATGGGCAGGTAATAACTCCTGGACACTTTGTAGGCGCAGCTGAGCCGTACCGCGTTGTCATATGTCAACTTTTTAGTATCGGACAGAAAAAGCCACATGACGCAGTAGACAGAAGTGAGCGCCCAGACGAGCATGATGATTTTCTTTGCCCTGGATAAAGTGCACAGGAATTGCGCTTTGATGGGGTGGCAGATGGCGATGTAGCGCTCTACCGTGAATGCGGTGATGGAGCAGGAGGACGCGTTTATTCCCAAATACTGGAAATAGGTGATTCCCAGGCAGCCCGCGTAGCCGTACACCCACTGCCCGTACAGGGCGTCGGTGATGTTTGGCAGCCCAGCGGCCGTCAGGACCATCAGGTCAGCCGCGGCCAGGCTCACCAGGTAACAGTTAGTGGGTGTCCTCATGTGTTTTGTCGTCAGCACCACCAGTATGACCATCACATTCCCAACGATTCCCACCCCGCATATGAGAGAGACCAAAAACACACTAACTACTTTGTATTCAACTGTGTAGTCAGTCCAGATACCCAGGGTCTGGTTGTCCTGCACCGACGTGCCGTTCTCCACAGTCATGTTATCCATGGTGAGGTTATCCATATCAAAGCGAGGCTGGATCTCTGTGCGCTTTTATGAAAATTACACCAGGCATTCAAACAAATCACAGGCAAAAAAATATCTCGGTAAACTGCAGGTGCTCAGCAGCAACAGTCTACCAGGAGCCCGACTATAAATTAACCAAAAGAAATCAATTTCATTCACATAATCCAGTCATATTGCTTTTTCTTCTTGGTGAGATCCAAAATATGAGATTACAAAGCCATAAAATTAAACTCCGATACATTTTCCATGAGGGCATAATAAAAGTAAATCTGTTGTTGGTTAAGTTTGCAGAGAGGAGATTTTGCAGGCAGCTCCGCGCCCTGCTCCTGTCTCACTGCTCACACAGTCAGGACTGAGAGCTCCCTGCAGAGCCTCACACGCTCCTTACATGGATCCACAGACTGACACTAGAACCGCCAAGTTTGTTCTTCTTCTGTCACAGACTCCGAAACATGCATCATGCTCCACACGCGTTTGGTGTGTAAGATGCTGTTTTAATGTCTTTGTTTCTCAAAATTTACCTTAACACCTAATAAATGTGTATATAGCACAATGGAAGGAAAAACAAGGGCATTTTAAGCTTAAAATTGTGCTATTTAGTGCAGTTAAATGTGTTTGTCAATAAACCACCTACAAACCATTAATGAATTATTGATAAGGGTAACAAAATTGTATCTTAATTATATTGAATACACTACCATTCAAAAGTTTGGGGTTACCTCCATTTTTCCAGTTTTTCCAGTTAATAATCTTAAATGATACAAAGCTAAGAAACAAACTGACAGAGGCACTGAAAAACAAACAAACAAACAGGAAAGTCACCAAAAACTAAAAATGTATATATCAGGCCTTATCAGGGATCAAGCAATAGGTTAACCCCACTTTTTATCTCCAGCAGTGGAAGTAAATGAATCCTTAAAAATTATTGCAAACAATTCCTACTGTGTCACAACTTTTGTTGATTACTTACAACAACTAATTTTCATTGTACATTACTACACTCTATTTGGGAAAAGGCCATTAACAAAGGAAGTCAGACTTTTCCAGGGTTTCATCCTACAGCAGGACAATGAGCCAAAATAAAACACCTCCAGGCTGTACAGATAAAAAAAATAAATAAATAATATAAAACAGGCTTTCGATGATGAAACAGCAGCACAATATTGTCAAGGATAGCCAAGAGTTGGACAGCAGTGACAGCTGGAGACAGTACTATAAGCATACAGAAGGAAACAAAGGTTGTCATAAATTATACTAAGAAGAAAGCCCAAGCAGGCCCATGAACCGGACCAACAGCAATACTGCAGTTAAGGAAAGGGGGGACTTTTCTGTATACAGAAGGAAACAAAGGTTGTCATAAATTATACTAAGAAGAAAGCCCAAGCAGGCCCATGAACCGGACCAACAGCAATACTGCAGTTAAGGAAAGGGGGGACTTTTCTGTGAATAAGGGAAGTTAGCAGACACATCCCTACAAAAGAGGAACTGCAGGCAGAGATGTGTGTGTCTGTAAGAAGAGAAAAAAATACAGAGAGGAGCTGCAGAGTTTATTGAAAAGGAAAATAATGGCTTCATGCATAAAATAAAAATTTGATTGATCAGTGATAATCAATGTTTAATCAAGTACTAATGAAATGAAAGATGGAGGTCTGCAGGGAACACTGTTCGCAGATTCATGCAAATATGCCACCTTAGTGTGAGAGGTTGAACTGTGTTCCCATGTCCAGGGGTTAGGGCATCATGGCCTTCAAACAGTGGCCAGTGCTTCAGATGAAGAGAGAAAGGAAAGCAACCTACAAGTTCAACACATTTGTTGGATCTTTTGCCGCAGTGCTGTCTATCTCATTAACATTTGATTTCACTTGTAGAAATGTCACAGGTGTGTTTGGCTGTTGAATTACACTAGTGACAAATGGAAGAATGGAGGTGATCTGAAACCTTTCAATGTTAGTGTAAACAAACAAAATCCTATGCACAACTCTTATAGTTTAACAAAGCATTTCCTAGCTTTGTAATATGCTCCCCACTTTATAATATGTCCTACATGTGGACACTAGTTCTACTATTTTCATATTACCACATATTTTACTGAGCATGCATTGATGAGTCATACTGGACAAATATATGTTTATAAGTACATACGTGTCTATAGTGTGCTATACGCTATTTATATATAGCTATAAGCTATAAGCTATTTATCCATTGTTTTTCAGTGTATTCTGCTTTTAATGCTAAATAGGTCAGTTAAGTTTAAGTATTAACAATTAAACTATTAATTATGGAGGAAAATGCACTAAGGTGAGAGAAACATCAGCAGCAACCACTCGTTTGTTACTGTTTAATTTTTTAGAGACAAAAGCAGCAGTGAAGTTACTGTATCCACATTATTTGATAGTATAGAAATGTTAAAGGAAATTTAAAAAACATGCAGTTTCCCATTTTATTTCTTTTTATATAATTTTAAGGTTGGCAAATCGTAATGTCTGCATTTAGTGTGCTTTACTTTTAATTGAAGCTATGGTGTTCACACTGAAGAAAATAAAGCAAGTCACATTTATGGCACCTTACAGTTGGAAATGGAAAGGATAGAGAAAAGGCATTTAAGTAGCAAAGAGTAGCAAAGATGCATTAAATACGTATCTGAGTGTCTTAAGATTTAACATTTTCACATCTCTATTTTGTAATAGTATGTTTCTGCATGGTGCTGTGTGGTCTATCCTGGCGAATTCGACTTTAAATAATACAAAAAATGATAATAGACTCCTGAGTGCAAGGGCACTTGTGTGACTACATTTTAAATAATGTATCATGGAAAAATAATTAAACCACTGGAGCGTAGAGTCTGGAGTCTGGTATTTAGGTTACTGACATAGTTTATTTCAAAAAAGGCAAGTTGTAAGTCAAATAACAAATGTTTATTGGTCTGTTGTATGTGTATGCTGTATCCATCATTAACAAACCACACACTGTATACATCCTGCACCAGTGTGTACTAATACAAATATTAAATATGTGTTCATAAAGTGAGAGAGAAAATGTTGCCATAAGAGTCTTGAGGTATCTGTAGCTCAGTTACAAGTAAGAAATTACAAATAATAATAACAATATTAATAATAATAACAGTAATAATGATCCCACCAAGTACAATGAGATCATTCGATAGTGTCCTACAGGCACACAGTTAGTCTATTATAGGACTATTGTGGCGATGGAAGGAGATACAATAGTGCACCAATGTTATGATGTGGCCTTTCCTGTGGCGGCTCCAAAGTGCTCACAGCATGACTGAGAACCATGGGATACATAACAACAGTCTAACTGCTGCCCATTTGCTTGACATTTTGGTTTTCTTTGCTCATTTGAACCTGCAATTTACTATCATAGTGCACAATCTGGCATGCTAAATTGGCTGGCGTGCATGTGGACCCAGGGAAATAGGGTCTCTTTGCTTCTGTTTGTGTTATCTCATTGACTTAGTGTTTGTCTCTGCATCTCTCCTTTATCTCATTTGCCGGCATACAGATGACTTCCCATGCCTCATCAACAAGGAAAGTATGTGAAGGGCCACACTATTCAGAAAAATTACAGCTCTGTATGTAAAAACTGGGGCTCTGGTCTCAGGAGCTATCACAACCCCCATGGGTGGCAGTTCTCCTCCCCTGAGCCAAACACCTACAACATCAGATAGGGGAGCTGAGGGAGATGTGTCTGATGGAGCTGCTTCTCAGTAGGAGAAACAGTCCTCTACTGTTTGCACTCATCTCCATCTGCAGGATATTTGCTGTGGAATAACAAAATGAGATGTACATGCTCATGATTTAACTGTTTGTGATTAGCATTTGGCTCCCTGCCGCTGGTGTTTTAGGTCCTGCAGCCAAAAACATAAACAAACTGGCTGAAGTTTCAGGCAGTCGCTCAACACTAGTCCAGATAAGTGCAATTGTTATTTCTGAAATGAAAATGACTCAGGTCTCGGCACAGTAGGCAATGCAGCTGTTTATGTTACTGTCTAACCTTCCCAAGAGGCTGGTTTAGTAATGGGAGCTCGGCAGTCTGCAGGGAAATATCCTGGAAGGAAACACAGCTCAGGCTTTTGGTTACTTTTCTGACTGTGGGCAGATTAGCTAACATTAGAGGCTGTGTGGCTAAACAACAAGATTAGCTGACTATAAATGCCAGTGTTTTTAAATGTTAACAGTGGATTAACGTGGCTTTAAGAGCTCATCAGTAGGTTAATTCTCTTTGGTTAATTCTGCAATCCGTCTGATGGGAAAACATCAACCAGGTAATACAATCAGTTCAGGGACCTGGCAAAGTTCTACTTAACATGAAAAAATGGCAACGTAGATATATTTTGAATGTTGATATGAAATATTGTTCATGATCTGAATAGCTGATTAAAGAAATCTAAGCCACCAATCAAGCAATAACCAGTTGAATAATTAATAATTATCCAAAGATACTGATCAATAATAAAGAAAAGAAAAGAAAAAAAAAAGAAAAAAAATAATTAAATGTTTTTGTCAGCGAACTGTACACAAAATTTAAAAACAATGGAGAAGTCACATTTAATAAAAAACTGTTAAATAACTTTTTATTTTTATAATGTAAAGGTAGCTGCAGAAGGTAATGCGTAAGGACTAGAAACCTTTTAGACAACTTATATATTTACAAAGATAAACTACTTTTAGAAAAATGGCTTCAGAATGATCAAAGCAAAAGTTAGACTGCACTATAATTGACATCACTGGTGTATTAGTGTTGTGCCTTGTACCCTTGCTACCCTGGCTAAACCACCTTTGTCTCTTGCTGTGTCTGTAGGAAAATGCAACGCTTCATTCATTCAGAAGTTATAGTATTTTCCATCAGGATGTAATCACAAAAATCAAATATGCTCCCTGCAAAACGTATCTGCACTTGCAGTTTAGCTGCATCAGAAGTTGCGTTTTAGAAGAGAGGGTTGGCTGATTTGTAACTGAGAGCTGCAGGAAAAAAATTTTGTTGTGCTTTGCATCATGACTCGACTTGACTTGAAACTGAACTGAAATGAGAATCTTGAGAATATTACCATAAACTCACATCACAATCCACACACAATATAATCATGGTTTAAAGTGAACCCTGACCACTGGGCTTTTTCTTTTACTGGAGTTTCTATGTAGTCATTCATTATAGTATAGGCTATGATTTATGTGTGCACAGGGTGCTGTATGCGTGAGTGTAAGCTGAGTGCCACCTACGGACATTATATTGTAGC